GATCGATTGAGAAGGTTGACTCTTTACAGATTGGAGATATGATCTGGAAATGAAAGATAAGCCTGAGGCGAGTAGTGCAGATTACGACATGCTTGTTAATTCGAAGGCTTATTTCTTATACAACGCTACAATAAGCAGTAGATTCAGATCGAATGCAAACTTTTTCACATGGATTGATGCAGGATATGGTATGTGATTATAGTCAAATCAAGCAAAACCTCGATTCCGTTTGATCGCTCATCATTCCGAACCCATAAGTTTTGAAAATTGAACTCTCGATGCCTTTGGGCCGACTCAACATGATTTACTATTTTTTCGCCTAACTATCGCAAGACGTTTGTTACTGAAATATTTTCGTTCATCATGCAGGTCATGGGAACAGAGATTTGATTCCTTTGCACTGCCATTGGAAACCCAATTTTTTGAGTGGTCTCATCACAGTGATAAAGTTAACTCCTCAGCACGATAAAGTCAGCAGGTAATTACCTTCTGAACCTGATTCAGCTTTCAATTATCTCACTTCTCTATTTGTTCATTCATTTGAGCACATTGGTTGCACTGTCAGGTTGCAAATTGACGAATACAATTTGATTAGTGACAGAACGTTGAATACTCCAATCAGCTTTTGATTCACAATCAGACTATTAAACTGTGCTTATGTGGAGTTTGATTTAACGTTTAGGGTCAGTCAACGAAAGATAATGTCAAGAAATTGGTTCGACGAAATAAATGCACATTGTGTTCTTTTGTTTATCCAGTATTGTCGTTTAACTTCCTCGCACTGTGCTGTTAATTTGTTGATACTAATTTGACTTTATTGTAATGAATTCAGGTATTCGATTAATCATATCTACCGTGTCGACTGGACCATTATTAGTGGCGGTTTTCTAGGTGGTGATATTCAAACGATAAATCGATTTTACCGATTCTTTCATAAAACCTTCATCGATCTTCTTGATGCGAGAAAAGTTGATGACGATCAGGTGTGTAGATGGTGAACCTTGTTTATTGAATTACTTCTAGGAATTGCATCTTGCAAGAGATTGACCTGTCTCATGAAAATAACTTTGAACGGTTCAAGGTTTTCGATGCAAAGTAATTTTTTGAGCATGGATGCTCGATGGGACAATAATTTGATCGTTAGCTAATTTTGATGATGAATTTCAGACGACATTAACGTTAACGATAAAACATTACGGGAATCTTTTCAATTTGGTTCACAGTAGCGGCGATTGGTTTGCATTGTTTCGTTTATTTCCATGCTCATAACAAAATTTTATTCGGTGCTCATCAGTGTTCGATTTATCAATCGAAGTATTCAAAAATACGACTTTCATCAAAGTATACGACACTGAAACTAGAAAATCATGAACACATATTGTGGCTTAGTTGGACGCAAAAATCTCTTGATTAAATTACACTAATATCGCATCTGAAGTAAATTCTGACGTTTTTGGTTGCATCCCTTTTTTCCATGCTGTACACCCCATATTATGATTTATTTCTGCAAATTTACTTGCACATTCACGAATCACTTTTTACAAAGGTTGTTTTTTTCAATTGCTCTAGTGGACGAGCAACATGTTCATTATTATTACGACTGTTTGCTAGATCGTTACTCGACTTTGTTTACTTATGTAAAATGATTATCGCAAAGAGCCTTTATTGTTGCTTGGCTATGGAACAGTAAATATACCGGTCGTTATGGATCTATTCGATTGAATTGATTGGAATCGTTTTTTAATTGTTGATTCAGATAACTCGTAATGAGTTGTAATCCCTGATTAAGTAAATAAATTTGTAAAATTGATGAATTTGTACACCCAATTAATTTTTTGATGCAGCTCATGATCATCCGATACTCAATGAGGATTAATGAGTTTTCTGATAAAGTCTTTTCACCACCTTCATCTAGTTTTAATCTCATTTCGAGTTTGACAACAGCGCAGAAGATACAAACTCTGATTGAGTGAAGGGAATGCTGAGAAAATTGAAGTTTACATTAGGATGGAATGCTCCCTGCCCGGTATTTCAGGTCTTTATGCTGGTGTTCCAAAACAATAAAAATCTCTAGTGAAAATGCACATGGTTTTTGAGTTGATCAATAGTCAGTCATTTTATTTCGCATGGAGTTGTTTATGTGGTTGATCTGGATGAACTGTACTTTTCATGCTGGAATATAAGATTGAGTCAATCAAATTGATATTATTACTCTGCTAGATCATCCACTTCCTTGGATTATTACAACGTGAAGCCGGTTTATCGGTATTTCTATCCATAATATTATTACATTTGTTTAGAACTGTGAAAATTGAGTGACTTTCTTGTTACATCCTTTAGACTCTATAAATAGATCATTTCAATTCATGTTGCGTGCATTCAGTGAGCAATACAAGTTGTGATAATAGACAGCGATGTTTTCATTCATTACTTCAGTTATTACGTTGCTTTTATTTGTGGTTCGACTCAACGAATGTAAGTTGCGCCATTGGTCTATATCCATCTTATGTTTCAGGATCTTATTCATGAGGTGTAGCGTTTGAGAATTCTGAACGGATATTGCATGAATGCTCGCAAGAAGTTGTTTTTCGTTGGCTGTTTAGTATGTGCTTGCCTAAGAGTGTTGAATAAACAAAATTCGATTTGGATAACCCTTAGCTGAGGCTCAGTCTTACACCGACACTCAGACTGAGGCTAAGTGTTCGTCTTAGCCTTACGCTCACACCTACATTGAAGATCAACACACCTTTTCATCTAATAACATCCAACACAATTTTCGACATTTTTCAACGGAGTCGTTTAATATGAAAGAACGCCATTTTCATTTCTTTTAATGCTCCCACTTGCATGTTAATAGCAAATTTTATCCACAAATTAATAGCAAGAACAATGTCTCTCAACATAGATATCGTCTTCATTTAAATTGCCGTTCAATTAACATAATTGATCTAAATGTCTCTGAAGGTTCGAAATCGTCATCGAATACGCAAATGAGGCATATCGATGGCGACGGTGGATGGGCTGGCGCATCAGCAAGTAGCTGGAGCAGTTCTGCGAGAGGCTCATTCGGTGGATCATCAGTGAGCCGTTTTGGGTCGAATCTTCAACCAGATGAATCTCCGGCGTCCCACTCATTCGAACAAATCGAAAATGAACCGATTTCGAGAGTGCAAGATGATAGTCAAGAAAAAGAGAATAACGAAAGGAACGATAAGCCAAAATTTCTGAGATTCATCGGATGGATTGAGCAACGATGATGCACCAAACCAACTTTTTAAAATTTTCATTAATACTCCTCTAATTCTCGATTCAGCAATAAAAATTGACTGGAACATATGAATGATGATCGATTAAACAGTTCACTTTATAAACGATTCAACAAGCATGAATCAAGGCAGGAAGCAACTACATTCACCTTCAGAAATTTGAACACATCCTCGCGATTTATGTGAGTGACAATTATTAGTGCCGAAATGCATTTGAAAGACGCATACAATCGGAACAGTTAATCTCAACAAGTTTTAGGAAGAGATTCAATTTGGTCGGATACTCTACAGCAGAAGCATTACTCTACAGCAGAAGCATTACCACAGTGAGATTTATTATCACATTTCACAGCATAATTTTTACATTACGATTGAGCGTTTGATCAATAATGGCTTAAGAAGAATTCACAACAAATCATTGCATTTTGCGACAATTTCAAAGAACCAGGTTTTGAGAAGTACAAACCTTATACAAGTTTCTTTTCGGTCGTGAGTAAAACTAAAAAGACCTATCAATTCTCGATAAACATCGAAAACTTGAAATTTACAGTTTCAAGTTAAGCTCTTAAAATAAGTACAGTGGTCGTGATACAATTCGTGGATTAGATATGAGATGCGATTTCGAAGGATGAATCTTTATAGAAATTGAGCATAAACAGTGAGTCATTATTGGAGTGGTGTTCCAACTGTTTAATTGTTTCCGCTAAGACAGTGGTTCTCACGGGGATGGAGATTGCCCGCTGAGTGGGGAGAGGAGGAGTTCGAGAGTATCGTGGAGGAGTTCAAAAGGTTAGAAAAGTAGTGCTGATCGATTTTTTGCGTTATTTCTCCCGCAACTGTTCGTTGATGCTTTCTAAATGCTTGTTTGACCGCAAGGAAGTGATCCTTTTGATACCATCGATGGATTTTTGCAGTAGTTGGTTTACAACTGATGTATTAGTTCATTGATTTCGTCCTAATTTGTCTCTGAGAAGAAACAGACGAAAGAGAAGGAAATTGGAGCTGGTCAAATTGCTCGAGAAGATGAATGGCTACTATCGGCCAAAATGAGATACGAAGAACCAGAACGTGAGAACCACTGCGGTATGAGGTCAAACATGAAAAGAATGAATTATTGTGGGTTAATCATACATTTTTTGTAACTTATAAATGAGTAACTTCAGCTTTCAGATTTGCTTGATAAAAGCTTGTGAAATCTAACTTACCGAGGAGAGTGAAAATANAGAGTGAAAATAACAAATCGTCAATTTTTGTCACAGCGACTGATATAGTCGATTAGAAATGGTAAGAGTGGTAAGTATGGTAAGTGGTAAGAGATATAAGCTGATGAGATATAAGGTAAGAGATATAAGAGTGTTAATTTGAGCAGATTCCTATAGCATTCTGAGTGAACAGTATCGGTAGCATTTGGCAGAACAACGCGAAGTTGTGTACTGAAAGCATCAGCAAGTTTGCAGTTGAAACAAAATAATATTTCAAAGATGATTTTGCAAGTATTCAATGATATCATCAACAATTTGTTTACGCTGCATACTTGACGGCATATGCATAATGCCGTGGTAGGCTGCAGGATAATGGTTCAATTGTACTGCAACTTTGAATGACTGCAACCGTTTTGCGTAAAGCATTCCCTCATCTCGCAGGATATCATAACCGGCTGTAATGATCATCGCAGGTGATAATCCAGTCAAATTGTCGCCTAATATCGGTGCAAAATCAGCATCGAATCCGTGTCTTTCGAATAATGCACACAACTGAAACAGATCAACAAATCATGCTTATTAGATAGTATAATGTGAGTGAATTGACGACACAACAGATTGAATTTGTTCGTTACTGAATGCAAATACAAATTCAAATATACAAGTGGAATTTCTCATGCATTCGTAGTCTAAAAATATTATTCAGAATAAATTATGAGCATATTGTCCAGAATGCGTAACGGCACTACATCGACTGTTTGCACTGCAACAAAAGACTTGTTTGACGATTCATTTTTCCAAACTTTTTTTCAATACTTTGATTCGGAATAGTCTGCTGTCGAATAAAATGACTTCCTGTGCATTAAGAGAACAGGAATAGGAAGTGGATTACTGAAAGTTAGGAACTAGTACGTGAACTCACCTCTTCGTCAGGTTCAGCTTTATTAGAATCAATTTTCTTGTGCCCATAGGGATTCTTCAAGACCGCAGCAGGCAATAATTCGCGACCAATTAACTTTTGCAGCCCTTCGCTATTCTTCTTCTCACTGAAATTTCTAAATTTGACAGTTCGACGTAGTCCCATAAAGTTTTGTTCCGCTATTAGGCGAGAGCTTCGTTACTGATCGAGTTCATCAAAATAATTTCGTTCACGTACAGTAACGCGGCATAAGAAAATAAATCAAACTTTCGGTATAATGTTAAGTGAAAAAAGCTTAGGAAGTGTCGGTGGAAAATGCATGAGAAATCTGAATGTCTTTGTGTACCTCCGTAAATGACGATTGTTGAGGAATTTTTCAATATTGCGATTGGTTGCAGGAATATTCAAATAGAGCATATACCATCGAGCCATCACATAAGGATTCAGTAGTGCTGTGCCAGACAGTTGATCGTAGAATAGTTGATATGAGGGCGATTTGAGATCAAATGGATGTATGACTGGATATATTAATACTTGACACTAAAATGACTTACTCATCATGACTTTCATGGCGATAGCGTTATGTAATTAGAAAATAAACAGCTGTTTCCTTGATTATAGTGCAGCATAATGCGTGTTGTGAAGAGAAGAAAAAGAATTTTTCAATTATTCTGTGATATTTGCAAAATCAAGGAATTCTTTATGGTCGATTCCAAAATACTTCTGAAAGAATTCAGGAAGATCACTTGAAGGCATCTCCCAAAAAAGTCAATCAGCAACGGAATGATCAGCAAGGGCTTTCAGCTTTTTGAGTGCGTTTCACAACGACGCATCTAAGTTCAACCTTTGGCAGTGTAGTTCTGCTTCGAAGCTGTCTCTGTGCAATCACCGTACTCAGATTCCCACCAGCACTATCACCCATAACACAAATTCGGGTCGGATCAATGCCGAATCGCCGATAATCCTCTGTGATAATCTTATGGTAAACTGCTTCACATTCTTTCACTGGACCCGGATAAGGATTTTCGGGTGATAACCGATAATCAATTGAGATGATGAGAACACCCAAATGCTTGATCAATTTGTACATCAAACTATCGTAATAACCTGTAACCGATCGTTGACCATAAACTGATAATATATATTTGTCTGAATTGTTCTATTACTAGCTTTGAAATGTTAAGGAATTCACTCTTCATACAATAATCAAAAAATGGCATTCTGAATGATCCGTAGAGATCGCACAATTGAAGTAGTTAAGAACTGAAATTGTAATTAGAAATTCATTTGACGAAAAATACGAATGAGGTTTATTTTTCGACGATGAAAATGATGAAAGTGATAAAAATTCGAACTAGGTTTCATTGTTGACCATCCACCTCCATGGGTGAACAGGATCAGCGCATTATTCCTCCTTTTTGCTGGATAATAAATCCGTACTCGAGATTCGTCAATTAATTCATTCTTTACGGTGACCAATTTCGGAGGAGCGGATTTGAAGAAGAACGGTATTGCCACTAGCAATCGTGTCAATTTATTCCTTATCTTCGGTCCGAAAATACATCCCACTAAACTGCCCTACAACTCTTTTTGTTCATCATCGCCCTGCCAGACAATTCATATTTACACTTGAATATTCATTGTTTTGTTCATTCAAAATGAGCACTTGGATGTGAAAGAGTATTTTCCTGCTGAATTTTTGCTCTTTGTCTCAAACGTGATATCTAACATTTCCAAGTTAATAATTCAATCTGGCCTGTTTTTTTTTTAATTTGATTGTTCATATCTGTCTGGATAATGGATTTTGAATTCTTTCGTCAAAGTGTTGCTCGTCTCAACGAAAGTAGACAAAAACTGTTAAATAATATTGCGATGATCTGATGTAATTGTCAACTGAGCACAATTTGAACAAGAAACTACCTAAAGCATTACAAAGGAACAGAATGCGTTACAAGCTCATTGCTCATTGAACATTATGCTCATGCAAGATATTCACGCACAAAATAACAGAAAAGAGATAATTTCGATTGACATGAAATGAAACTTACGAAATACTCGTTAGATACTCGTAATAGAAATTCGAAAAACTGTAATTTAAGGCGATCACAAATATCATCTGGTAATGGTATATAAAGCATCGAAACGAATGCAACTAGAAACGACATGGCAAGAAGAAAAACCGCCAATGCCATTGCTGTAGCGAATAACACCCTCTCGCCGGCTGTTCGCTCCACCGATATCACCTGAACTCATCGATAAGTAGCATTTTCAAATTCTCAGCATATTGAAGCATTTAGTGACTTATTACCGAATTGTTACCAAAAAATTGCCTTTTGTGATGTTTATTCTTTTTTGTTGTTCTCTGCTTCTTCTTCATTAAAGCTGAACATCTTCGATGAGAATAGAATAGCGTTTTCTCAGCTCAAGTATGAAACTTCAATTTGACCATATACCATTGCATTTGTTGACTCATTAGTGCTGCGTATTTTGCAGTTTTCATTTTGAGAAAAGCAGTAATTTTTGATGAAATAAATGTTTACAGGTGAGATTCGAATGATTTATCATTACAGCTTTTTTCGTTTTGAGAAAAGCAGTAATTTTTGATGAAATAAATGTTTGCTGGTGAGATTCTCTCAAATCTTCGTGAATAGTCTTAACAAGAGATAATATGTCAAACAGTGGCCAAGATGAGCGAAGAAGATGTGTTTTCAATCATTTTATTAGACTTGCTGTGAACAACAGCCACGTATAAGCTAACTTTGTTGATCGTGTGAAAAAACTGATGGTCTCATCGAATGGATTTTCAGATGAAAATGAAGCTGTAGGGGGACGTTGGATGTACGAACTGAGGAAAATGGAAAAGCAGTATGAAAGGACATGAAAAAATAATGCATAAGAAATACGAAAATTTGTGTTTCGGAGAAGATGAGATAGTGGTGAGTAAGTTTGGGTAGATTGAGGTAAAAAATTGGTGTTGAGCGCAGAGAATATATCAATGTCATCAGGAATTCTTTGATTCGGTTAAATGAGAAACATTTATTCGGTGAACGTTTTGAATAATTTCCATAGTGCTCTACACAATTTGCATTGAATATGGACCTTTATGTTACTGATATTACTTACATTTTTATGATCCATCAAAAACGCTAAAATATTGTCAGGGTTGGCTAAAGAGATCATTTTTTACACAACGACCAGATAGCTTCTATATTAACAGTTCAATGATTAATCGAGCGGAATATCGGTAGCAAATTTAATCATTCTCATAAGGGAACACAACAAGTCACGAAGTCAAGAGGGTAAATTTTTTGAGAACTTAGATGACAGTTCAAGTGATGTCTTCTCTCATAATTCGATCATATCAACGAACGCAGAAAGATTACCTAATTTGTGATAGTAAACAAATGAAACAAATGAAAAAAAGCGTTTGAGTGGGATTTTATAGTTGAATCGAACACCAATGTTTCAACTGGTTCCATGCGAAGTATTTATGGTGAGTAAACTTCCCTATGAAACCAGTTATGGGTTAAAAACACTTGCAATCATTTTCTGATTTTTTTCAATCATGGTCTGAACAACATTTCATGTTCACGTTGCTGCTTTAGGATCGAATAAGTATTTCGCTGATTTACGATCAATGATGTTGCTATGCAAATATTACAGAACTAAAAAAACTGCCTAAAGTAAGTACACTTTGCAAAAGATTAATGTGTATTTCTCATAAACATGAGCGTTGATCCAGAAGTCGATACTGAAAAGCAGCGGTTTACTATTCATAACGAATTCCGCAGAAAGTTGTCCCAGAAATGATAGCGAATGAAAGTTGATTAGTAAAAACCGGCGAACAAAAATGTTGTTTTATCGAATAAATTCAATGAAAATGAATTTTCGTTCACGAAGGTTGACCTTAAAAAGTCCTCTAAATGAAAATTCTAAACAAGAAATTATGTTAGAAACAGCTGTGAAAGTGCAAAGTCCATCCAACAATGATCTTAAGGTTTAAGTCACAGATTTTATCGAAAGACAAAATTCGTTAGTCATAATTGTTTCTTTAAAAACGACTAAAGAGTATTGTACCGCTAAACATTCATTCATTTTGCATTAAAAAAAGAAATTAAAGAAGTTAAAGGCAAACTGATATCAGTGAATGTGTAACCCTAAAACAATACTACTATTTTCAGAGAAATTACAACTTGAGTTATAGGTTCTTTCATCTCAGACACTATGAAGTACTTTTTGTTTAAATTGCATCCCACAGAAAACAGTCCTTACGTACTCTTATCGTACTAAACAACAAATGAACTTCCGAACGTTGACTCGAGCGATCATAATTTCTGGCGTTTGTCTTTAATAAGATGCTACCTCATCTCTCGATACTCCGCTATTAAATGCGTCAAAATAATCGGCTCGGAAGCGGCCTGACATTGCAAGTTTATGTGCGCCACATATTTTCATAATGAATTCCACATAGCTCAATTACTAAATAATGGTGTATGTGAATAACTTACGGCACTCTTCCAATTTAACTGTTGCAATGCTTAAAGTAAGCAAAATTTTTTCCAACTCCAAGGTGTCTCTCTCTCAGAGAAAAGTAGTATGAGATAGCCTAATCCTTCGGACTTGGAAAAAAATTTTTCTCACTTTGAAAACTGCGACAGTTGAATTATGAGAGTGTCTAACTTAATTCTGAAAGAGTGACAATTTCTAAAANCACTGCAGCGAAATGGTGCATAGGTGGTGCTGCGCCTTTCATAGAGTTAGAGCAGTTTTGCTGCAGAGCAGACAGAAAATTCAACTGAACTCAAAAAAAAACTCGAGATGAAGTGAAAAATCTTAAAGAAGAGCGGAAACAATTGCAGATGCATCGTCTGAGAATATTTTTTATTGCTGCGGTTTTTCGAAATGTTTTCTTATAAACCTTCATTTGTGTCCTCCAGTTTGGGATGCAGTCGACGGGTGGGACTATCGACAATGCTTGCGGATGGCCTCATAACAATACGTTGCTCAAATTTTCAGAGGAAAACAGCTCCATGTTAGATACGTCATTTTTTGGGGTAATCATAAGTAAAATGTAGGAATGTAGGAAAGGCAGATCTTTCACGTTTTGGCTGTCATCTTATATAATTCAAAGCATTCATCAAATTTTTAGTCTTAATTTGTGCTTCAGTGTTATAAACATTCCCAGCTCATCAATGTTTTTTCTTCCTTACAATTAGTCATCAAATCAATTATTGTCAGGGATCGAATGATTACTGGGAATAACATTTTATTTCTTGTTGATTATGTAAGAGTAGATAAATGGAGAAATCAGATCAAAAGATTGTCCTCTGATCGAATCGTTATGCGACTGAAATGCAGTTGTTCTCATCCACTATCAGAGTATGATTTTAATTTGTCTTAATAGGCATTCTTTGCATTTCAGAGTAAAATGTGATACTCCAAATGCAAAGAATGCCTATTAAGACAAATTTGTCGAGCTTCAAAACAACTGAACCTATGGTAGACATGGATTGGTAATTGGAAGATTCATTAAATATACTTCGTTCAGACTTTAATGATTCAGTCGTTTTATTTTTAATCCTAAATGTACAGAATGAGCATTAATTACGGCTTTTAATATTAACATTTGTGTAGCACAGCATAAGCTTACCTTTCGAATGAGCACGTTTCCCTGACTCCAGCATTTAACTAATCATGCTAAAGCAGCTAGAACGTACCTCTGAATATGACCGCACAGGGCCCCCTGTCAAAGTAACAATAATAATTTTCATTGCTGAACATTCCGAAAATTTTCAGCTATGCAAATGAAAACAAACTCTTTCTAGTTCTACCATCTACTAATTTGTTTTCCTTTGCGCGGTATCGAATTTAAAATTTTGAGGCATCCATCTCTCTACCGATTTTTCTAAAATTCCAAACGATTGCTATGCAATGACGTCCCATGTTTCTGCGATGATTTCTGATTAGAAACACGACATTGTGGCTATGTAGGACGCATATACACCATGTTCTACTATGTGTATTTATGTGTACGAGTATGATACGTATGAGGTGTATGCGTGTTTTGATTCTGCTGTTTTAATGATTCATGAACAGGTTGTTAAGAAGAGAATGAATTGGTGTCACCTTAGAAATGTTTACAAGCGAAAGATGACCTCATCATGTAAATAAATCAACATTCAGAAAATGTCCGTTAATTTTATGACGATTTTTTCCTTCGTTGAATCGCTTCCATTGATTGATATCTCCTAAAGCTTATCGTTCAACTGATCGTTCGTGTTAACGGTTCTCATGCGTTCATTTCTTGCTGAGATTAGATTTTTCTCTCAACTGAGTCGAATACCAAGCAATTGTTTGGTATTGAAAATTGTATCACATAACAACTCAATTTATGCCACCATTCAGCTGAAAAAAAAAATCCAATTTGTTGATGTTTTCGTATCACATCAGCAAAACAGCGTGAGTCCAAATGTATCGCATACCAACTCAAGTTATGCCACGAAACTGCCCCTTTATATTCATCTTTCTCACACATTTCAGTAGTCGTTAAACCAATGCAACTTCAAAAAACAGTAAACATTTTATTTCGAATTCCATCCTATCACTGGAGAAGGAAAACGTTTAGATATATTGGATTGTGCCATATCGCTCAGACGTTACGCAAACCGAGAATATCAAATTTGAATCAGTTGAATTGCTGAATGAACGCAATAGGGAGTGAATGCGCAAGAGTTTTAACGTTAATTCAAGTTCTTATTCAGTTTATAACTGATCGATATCGCGTCGATCATGCATTCTCCGAATCTGCGATATCTCAATTGCCCCTTTGTGCATTAATGCAAACTCATTAACACTGATTCATGCACGCGTACATTTTCACTTCAATTTGAATGACGACTCTATGAAAATCAAACTATTTCTCTCGAAAGAAGTCTCGCGTTGCATTGCATCTGAATTTCTCATCCAGTTTCTCGAAAGAAATCTCCCAAATTGCACGCAAAATGAAAGCAACCAGCGTGCGAGGGATTTGGCTGTGAAACTTAATAAATGCTCTAGAATAAAGCACAAGTCAGAGAAAGTGGAGGTTAAATTTTTCATAAAAGCGCATCATAGATCATGAATAGTGATGACTTCCGAGCGAAATTTCAGTTTGTCCAGAATCGGACCAAAGCGACTTTTCAACACTTCGAAATTCCGAACGACATTCAGAATTCTTCGATCGGAATACGACCGAATTCACACTTTCAGGTTATTGCGATACTACATTTTATAATCCGCCTTGATGATGACATCAAACAGCAAAATATTGACGACATTTGAAGGAAACGAACATATGCGTCTTTTCTATTTGTTTTCAATAATATTGCGCATGAAAAAACAATAAATAAAAAACGTGTTATTTTTGACGCCAAAACATATCATTCATTTGCTCATTTTATTGACACACAAATATGTCATCGGCTAGATGTAGTGTCCTTGTTAATTGATAATTTGAATGTTACTCGAATCGTTTGCTGCAGCGAAAATATGAAACTTCAACGCTAATGTTTCTATATAATTGAGCAGTTCAATTAAGTAAGTTAGGAAGGCAATATATGAAATTCCTTCAAATATGAATCTTCTTTTACTATGCTTAATGCTCTTCGTAGAGTATGTTGCAGTGGATAATGTAAAACTTGTAGATTATTAAATTATGGCTAGAAGTCCTGTTTAGACAGTAAAAATGAATTGGTGCTAGGTGATTGTAGATGAAATTGAACAGTGGATGAATGTTGACCTAATGACGTGCGATTGCTTTAATGAAGAAGTGTGCAGTATCAAAGCATTATGCTTATGGAAAGTGGTATGCTAAGGATTGATGATCGAAATAAGTTGGTAACAAATGAAAAAAGTTTCATGCTCACCTGGAGGCATATTCGTAAGTCGGCTAATGATGGGAACATTGAGAGGAATTCTGCGAGAATTATTCGTTCGGAAAGGATCATGGAATACATGTTTATCGACGGAAGATGATTGAACGAATATTGAAATTTATGAATAATCCAATGCAGATATCCACTCTGAAGATAAAACACTGTACTTATGTAAATATTCAAAAACAATTGAATAAGTGATGAAAAAAGAGAACGTGAACAAAGCACCCCGCGAAGAGTACGTGAGCGTTGATGATACACAGCTGGTGAGAATGATGATAGGCGGTGCTGATCCCCAATTAACAATGCATCGAATTATAACTGGATTGATTTCGTTTTCATTCACACCTACAAATTTCGTTGCTGAACTGCTAGAGACCACAACCGTTTAAAATAAACACCAAAATAACGCTAAATTCCAAAACAACAATGCAACCTCAATCCGCCCCTGAAAACTTATCTTTTCAGCGTCAACCAACCGATCACAAGCAAATAACACTTGTCAAGTGTAACAAATGTGTCATACGATAGTTTAAATTATCTATTATAGCACTTGTTCAGAGTACATTAACTATCACCATACAAAGTTCCTTTATATCAAACCAAACGGAAGCACTTAGCTCAGCTCGATTATTTACGCAATTAATAAACGTTTAAATCTTTAAATCTTCGGCCAGCTAGAACGATTCAGTCCATTTTCCACAAATTTGTATTGAAATAAAGAACTTCGATTTTCGATAAACTCGATTGAGGACAAAACTTCAGTGAGTATCCAATTGGTTCTTGTCCGGAAATCAGAACCGTGATAAGGAGCTGCTGCTCGAACGTACAGCTTCTCAGGTTTTGACTGGGTCCTCCATCCCAACGGTGTTCTCCAAGGTCAAAAATTTTTTCACGATGAACATCGAGCATTACTTTTTTGTGAATTGTTTCTAGG